TGAAAACATCCAGGTATCAGAAATGAGAGATATATGGGAGATGTTTTGGCGTCAACAGTCTTATAAGAAGTATGAGCTAGATTTGCATGGAACTGTGACAGCTAAAGAGGACACAATATTTCAGATGGTCTAAAAGTTGAGTTAGCGCCACTCAATAGGTTCCCCTCTGAACTGCAATTTTTAATCTTCCTACACTACAGGGATAGATAAAAATGAGGCTATGGCTTTGCCTCTTTGGAGAAAAGTGAAACATATGGCATAACCTCTTGAAAAACAGTTATATAAATGCTATGTCTGAAACAAGAAGTAATCTTATTTTGGAATAATTACTCCATTGGAATTATTTCACATGGGCAGCTCTTCTGAGCAAGGTCTATCATATAATAAACTTGGAATAATATCTTCTATCACAAACACGATACTAAATAGCCCCACAAACAGTATTAAAAGGCCTATAGTACTATGGCCAGTCTTCGCGAGCGAAGATCCGGGGAAGGTCTTTCCACCTTCCAGCCTGCGCATTGGATTTTTTAGGTGAGACACAGTGTGCGCGGAACTGAGCCCACCCTTTAATCCTAAGGTTCATCTGCCGGGGCCAAGCGAGCTTGGACGGTGGCAGTGAGGTCCTTAGGACGTAGGTGGGTTGCCTTTAAGGGCTAACGAGCTCCATCTGCCCGGGGAGTGGCCCTGACCGGGAATCGAACCCGGGCCTCCGCGGTGACAGCGCCGCGCCTTTACCACTAGACCACCAGGGGCTCCCATCCTATAGTACTAATTGAAGACTAAAAGTAGAATTTAACCAGATCAACTAGCAATAGAAAGGTAAAAAGGCAAACAACTACTCATGATTTCCCATATCATCTTGAACAGTTTAACATCCCATTTTCCTTCTTAGAATGGAAAAGAATCAACCCCTTTTTCTCAATCCAACTAGCTGTACAAAGAGAAGTAGCTAAAACACCCAATCTTTCTCATGAACACAGATTTAATTCTACCACCTGAAGCAAACTAATCACCAGCTTCTAAAGAGTTTGAAAGGTCAAACTTGAAATATTGAGTATAAACCAACAGAACTGAAAACTACGGAAATGTCTTAAAAGTCTACATTTTTTAAAAGGGCAAATTGTTGTATATGTTTCCCTGCACCCTTTTAGCAATTGCAATATTATTCCAAGAAATCTCTAGGCATACATTTTTAAAAGTTTCTCCCTGGACTACACAAGAATCTTTAATGCTGTTTCATCAGTTCTCATGAATCTGAGAGAATCCACCAAAACATGAGTCAGTCAAAGAAACTGTACTTCGGGAGAACCAACTGTGATACTTGAAAATTTGATTTTTCTTCACACTGGCACACAAAATTAAAACCAGAAAAATGTTAAATTTCTTCTTTGAGTGAAATGTATTCTGCTGTGCTGCTAATAATCATTACCTAGAAAAGTAAATTAAAATTTGACACCCTCATATTTGTCAAGTGTTCAAAAGCTAATCAGCATCTGCTGAATGCTTCAATATAAAGTATGACACGTACTCAAAATTAACATCCATACACCCAGATGTGTTTTCAAGTAACAGTCCATGGGTTAAACCAAAAGGACATGTTCCTCTGGATTGGTCTGTGCTAACTTTCTTGTGATACTCAACAGGAGATGCAGACGGGAGCCAGGACCTCAATCCCACCCCAGCTCAGCCCAGTATGGCATTACTTTACCATTCCTTCTCTGGTTTCTGGTCCACAACTTACAAATTGTTAAGAATCTTGATCTAGGTGTTGCTAGCCTATCACCATTCTTGAGAATATGTACAGAAAATCCCCACTCCACCCTGTATTACATGTGACCAGAAATTCAATTCCCTACAGGATTTGACACTAAAATACAGCCCCAAAATTCTAACACTATATCTCTTGCAGAAACACAGGACACTTGATAAAAGCACCATTACCTTGCCACAATAAATGATTAACATGCAGATGTCATAAGGGATGCCACCCTATTCATTTGCTGTAAGTGGTTTTTGCATCTTCCCCTAGAAGCTAAACTTAGAATCTTTTTCCAGGCACTGTGATTTCTATCATGGAATTTATATGACAACTCACAAAATGACAGTGTAATAAAGTCCTTGAAAATGTGAAGGGAAGAACTGTGATAATTGTTTCAATTCAGATTACACTAAAAAAATGTTTGTTAAGGAAAATTTCTAGAAGAAAACTCCCCACAAACGGGGTAAGATTTGTGGAGAAGATACACCCTGGCAGATGTGCAGTTCTTGTAAGGAATGTGATGCTCCTCTCAAAGCTGCTTAAACTTGATTTTATTTCAGGTCTGCAACTAAATTTTTTTTGTAAATAGATTTAGGCTGTCAATTTCCAGGCATGCTGTGCCATCAGCATGTAGAGACTGCTGTGACAAACGTGGAGGCTGCAGCAGCAAATTTTATTATAAACTGGTAATTGAATTGAACAGGTTTACATTTGAATAGATTTACTGCAGCATGATCTCTGACATGCTGCATGGGACTGAAATCCTTGTCTGTACATAAAGAAACATTTAAGATACAGCAAGAATTATTTCAGCTTATTTTAAGTCCATGCTAATCAATAAATTTATACCACTTTACATATGAAAGAAGCCAGTATATAATTTTTCTTCATACTGTACATAAAGTATGTGGTCAAAGCCAAATAGTCATCCCCAGACTTTCCCACAGGTAAAAACAACAACACCTGTCTCCAAAACTACCTTCCAACAAGAACACTAGAAAAAAAATCTTTGTTACAAGTACAGTCCTACAAATGTACTGTGAATTAGTATGGTTTCAAAAGTAAAAGTGGTCACTAAAGGGGGAAAGAAAATAAAATGCTCTTATAGATTCTTGTAGGTTGTCCTATTAGGTGGTAGATAAGTAACAGCTGAAAAGTTAAGCTAACTCTCCCCTAAATTAAAAGGCTCAGTAATTAAAACCAAGTAGAAATCTTACTGTGTTTTGACAGAAAAACCTCACACAACATGAATGGAAGAACTAAGATGTGCCCAAGAGTGAGGCTAACAAAGAAACCTTCTTTTCAAAGCAACTAGTCATTTTGTCACTGTAGAACATTCAGGAAAAGATATGTACTTTAATAGCAGAAAATTTATGAAATTCTGATTAAGAAAACTTGTGGGATTAATTTGAATCCATGGACAAAGAACATTCATACAAAAAAATCTGACTCACAACACACATCTGAATTGTCTAACTAAATTATCTCAGTTAACAAAATTGTATGCAGAAACACAGTAAATGTGTGCACAATTTTGGTAACTGAGATAATTACTCATTTGTAGAAGAGACACTTAACTTCCTCATGCAGTCCCAGAAGCTGCACACAGCCTAGACTTTTCAATATATATGTTAATGGATTTGCAATGGTGCCCTCAAAATTTAAAAGAAAAAGACTCTATCAATTTACTTGCATGTACTCTTGATAGCACTGTTTCGTTTCCAAACAAGTTGCCCAATATATCTGAATATTAGCTTATTAGTGGTATGGGTCTTAACTTACTAAAAAAAAGATGTTAGGAAGTACAGTCCCTTTCAAAAGGTGCCATACCCAGTCATCTCTTTCTTTCTACAGTTTATCTAAGCATCCTAATTTCACTTTTAAGTAACTGCTCCTAGTGGTCAGTTATACGAGGATTTTGGCAAGTAAGAACTCTCCCATCACCACTGGAAGAGAGGGTCAAATCCTGCCGTTCTTACTGAGGCAAAATCTCCATTGAATCTGACAGGAGTTTTGCTCAAGTAAGACTAAGGACAGCGGGATTTGGCTCACAGGATCATAGCATCTGCCAAAGCAGTTGCACAGAACAAGGTTTATTCTTAGTAAGTATAATCCAATAAGAATATGTCTGTAGGTGCGTGATAGACCTAATTTGCTCATCATCTCTCCACTGGTCTATGTTGTTCTTGCATTTTATCCTGATAGCTGTATACTTACAACCTGTTTTAAATTACCATCAGATGATTTGCAAAAATCAGCCAGCTATTAAAGCTGAGTTTTTAAGCACTGACAAAGCAAAATTGCATAGAACTATGTTTAAAATGGTTGCTTAACACAAAGTGCTCTCCACCGGATATTAATATTTAGAGAACATTACACTGATTTTATTTCAAATGTTTATCTAGTTCAGAAGTTCATGACATCTATCTTGGGGGTTACAGCGCTCTACAGTAACAGCACATACAATACATGCACATAAAAATGTATTTTTGTATATACATTAACAGCACTGCAAGGGCATAGCAGGCAACTAAGATTTAAGGAATTGCCTCTTTTAGTAATACACATGAATCAGGTTCCAGGTGAGACAACACTGTTTCTTGAAAACATTTTCTAATGTTTACCTGTTATTCAATATCTTCAAAACGTAAATGATGAATTAAAACATTCAGCTTATACTTACAGTGAGGGAGAGGGGTTCTCACACGCTTTAAGGAGAAAGAGAAAGGGGGATGGATTCTCCTCTTCTGCATGCTCCAGTGTAGTTACAGTAACTTCAGTACACATACTCAATATTTATACTTGTTTAATTGAGAACTAACCTTTTCGTTTGTCCTGATATAATGAAGACTGAGTAAAAACAGGGAAAAGAAGGCACAGTGTGTGTTTTGGTTTTCTGCCAGAACTGGGATAGACTAACAGTGGATAAGGAATGGAGAAAGGAAATCTTATGAGAATTCTGATGATTATTTTATTAGTTACCTATTGAAGGAGATTGTCTGCTGAGGTACATTTTTCTGTACTATACAAGATTAGAAATACTCTGGAGGTGATAAACTCTATGTGGATAAAGCATTTTCGATAGCTTAGAAGCAGACTATCAAAAAGAGCAAGTATACATGAAAATTGCCTTCTCAACAACTGATTAGAACACTCACCAGTCTCTCTTCTTTCCTGATTGCCCTACAGTTGTTGCATGTGTTTGCAGAGAAATACACACTGAGTTGGTCAGTCTTACCTTCTTTCAGCATGCCAACTTTTAGACACTTCATGAAGCGGCAGGCTTGGCAGGACTTGCGTCTGCGCTTTGTGATTTCACATTCATTCGTTGCTGGGCAGCTGTATTCTATGTTACCTGCAGCAGAAAGTACAGGAAAAGAAGTGTTCAGAGTCACTGACCAGAACAAGGGAGATACTAAGCACTCATAGAATTGCTGTTGTGTTTCATTTTGGAAATATATCAAGAGTAAACAGTGCTTCAGAAAGGAAACACCTTGCCAGTAAAAATGAACGGCTGAATTTTTTTAATAATCTAGACATCTATATGAAAGAAATATATACAAAACCACAACTAATGTGGGTCTGTGTCTGACTCCATACATGGTCCCTAGCAAAATCCTTCAAACAGGTTATTCCTGATGGTAAAAGGAACAATTTTTTTTTTCATACCAAGCCACATGCTTAGCTCCTAGTCTGAGCACTCTTCATTTCCCTTTTTTTGCCAATTTCATTAGCCTTTCTTTGCTTAGAATACAAAAAGAGGACTGAATATGCTTTACTGCACAATCAACTGTAACAGGTACTACAGAGTTTCACCCTTCTATTTCCTCTACAGCAGGCACAGTGTATCAGGCAGGGCTCACCAGCATTGCTATCACCACATCTAGCATGTTCTACAGCTGCCAGGTCAGATCTCTCCTCCAGGACATCTCCCCTTCCCTCTGTACTTTAGACCAAGCTTTTGTACTGAGAAGCATCAGGAACAGGATCATTCTTGCCAAGCTGTCAGAATAACAAAAACTGGAAGAGGTGCTTGCCTTTGTGTCTCCCTCTCCCAACTGTCCTTAAGGTCTAAAACAAGATAGATCCTTAAATGTGAGCCCTCCTGGGCAAAACAGCCTCTTCATTTTTTTTCCCTTGTGGTTACTGCTTAGTACATATTATTTCACCTCAAAAATAATAAAATTAAAGCCTGTAAATGAAAGAGTAAAATACATATGACTAATTTTCTTTATGGTTTTTTTTAACTCACATCTTTGGGTATGCAAGTCCAAATGGGAGAACATCTGTTCTCTTTTGCCCTAGTACCACTGTACTTTTCATAAAACAGCTTAGCTCAGCTTACTAATCTGCCCAGCCATGCATCCTATTGCCCATGACTACATTCAGTATGACAGACCTTGCAGCAGTCAGAAGTTTCACCACGAAACTGACTTTTGAATAAAGTATCTTCCCCATCAGGCTGTCACATCTTGCTTTAAAGGTATTTCTTTATTTTCTAACCCTTTCCCCCTGTGATTAAGTGCATTAGTATCTTAATGAAAATGCATTCTGTTTATTGCCCTCTTGGGAAGCAAGAGGTCATCACACCAAATGCATAAATTGTCATCAGAGACAGTCCGAGCATAATTGCAATTTTGCTGCTCCATGTTTGCTGCACTCAGGGTCCATCAAAGTCCCCTGAAACATGCGCAGGTTCTAATAATTAGCATAGAGTCTGCCTGGGACCACAGCATTGATGAAATATTTCAGAGTTAATCACACTTTGTAAACACTGATTTATATTGACTACCTTTCTCCAGACTGATGTCTCCTCATTAAATATCACATTAGTGGATTGCAGGATCGCACAAAGACTCAAATGCTCAGCAACTGCTAATTCAACAGGAAGTAATACTTAAACCACTTACATCTATTGAAAATTGGTTAAGTATTTATGATAAAGGAGTTCTGCGTGGTGCAATGTGTATTCTGACAACACAGCCAGCATACTTGGCAGAACCTTCTCAGGCCTTTGAAGTCTTTCTTCCTCCTGGATGTTGCTGCATGAGTGGATTAGCAATGTTGGTGAGTAAAACAGATCTTGGTATGTCTGAATGCTAATAGATCTTGTTGACAAAACTCAAACCAGTTTAGTCCTCTTCCCCTTCCTTAGCTCCTATGAAGAAAGCATTTAAGAAACTGAAGGATACAGTGGGTAGGGAATTCAGCTTAACAGTTCCTGTGAAACTTCTTTCTGATACACATTAGAAAAGTTAGGAAATAACACTTTTGGAAACATACGTAGAAAACAATGGTAAGGGTAAACTTAAAAAAAGACTCATATTATCCTCTCACTCCGGTGAAGTATTCTTAGTAAGGCACAACCACTACATAGGAAGACCTTCAAAGCCTTTCACAAATTGTATCTAATTAACTTCATTATATTATAGTAATATACGTATTACCATCTCTACTTAAAAAAAAAAAATAAAGAAACGGAATCAGAAATGCTTTGCACAAGATCAAAGATATCTTTGCACAAGGTCAGAAATGATCTTGATCAAAAGCAAGATCGAGATTACAACATAGAACTTCAAGCACCAAAGCTCTGTACCAGGGCAGGCAGAGCACTCCCACTGTAGCCAGAGCCCTTGTTTAAAGGCACAAAGGTACAGATGTTGACATCAAAAAGTAGCATTCAGAATGAGAAAAATATTGCTCATTTCCTTAAGCAGACACTTCTAATCCACACCCTGACATTTCATATTTGCAGAAACAGTGCAACAGTCTAGCATGCAGCACATTATGCACAATGTAACTTATTTTTCCTGTAAATTCTTGCCACCTAAAGAATGCTAAAAGGAGCTATTATTCTAGCCACTTAAAATTCCAGTACTTTAGCTTAGAGGGGGAATCTCCTTTCAATTTAGGTTGCTTTACTTTAATGAACTGTATTTTACAGCAGATGTTCAATCTTCGTTTTGCTGTTGGAAAATAAACTTCGAAGATGTTGCAAAGAATTTCTCGAATGAGCTCATCAGCAGAGTTACAGTAGCAGCAGCAAAGATCCACATCTTACCAGTGGCCACAGCTTGTCCCCCTAAAGGGTTTCAGCATCTTAGAATATGGCTAGACCACAGTAAGAGGTCAAGGAACTAATGTTTAGTCACCACTTCACATATAAATGCAGTGGATATGTATCTAGATATATATCATACTCAAAATGTGCTTTACCTACCACTCTTAGTATTAATGGATATATTTCCGGCAAAAAAAAAAGAATTTACTGCACATTTCAGGTCATTAGAGCTCTCATAATTTCTTATTTACTTCTATACATGAATTTCATAGGTGCGCTATATCCATCCAAGATACTCAGATCTGCATTTTATTTCAATAATGATGATCCAGAAGGAAGCTCTACCATTTACTTGCTTACTTCATGATGCTAGAGGCTGAAACTAAGCAGCTAGAAAAAGTGCAAGATGGGTTTGCCCAGTCCTGTCAACAGCTGGAGAGGTAGCTGTGTTATACAGTGAACAAAATCAACATGGCAGCTCTGGGTCTTTAAACTGGGCTGACAAGAACGATTGAGCAATTTATAATATCTCCTGGCTGGTTTTCAGAAAGAACTGGGCTCTGATTACTTATTTCAGACTCTTTTGAACAATTAGTTTGCTGGCAATATAATTTTCTCACTTACTCCTTAATAGAATCGTGCAGCTAGCTGGCTGATAGAATAACAGTGTATATGTAAAACTCCTGCCTGAAGTGCCAGGGGATAATTTGTATATTCCTTTCAGTAGCGTAATGGACTTTTACAGTTTGGCAGTTAAAGGGCTGAGTAATGTAAATTAGTATGACGCTTGAAAATAAAAATATATGTCAAATTTTCACTCCCCAAACACACTGCCCTGTGCTAGAATAACACAACGGCATTTATGCCAGCCTGAGTCCCTTTTCTCTCCTCAGGTGCTGAGGAATGTTTATTTAAAATTAGTTCTCTTTTCTACTCATTTATTAAATTTTATTATCTCAGCCAAAAGATGAGAAAATACTTCTAACACTGTTGCCTATCAAGAGCAACTGACTCACTAAAAACATGATGCCATTTGATCCTGAGAGAGCAGATGAACTGCTAAAACTTATGCTGTATACCCAGCTCTCTGGTTTTAGATGCTTCAGACTGTCACATCTTTATAAACAGCTCATGGATAAGTGGGCCAAGGTACCACCCTTTTTACCTTTTTACAGATGAGGTTTGGATGTCACCAGAACGAGATGTGGAGACGCAGTACAGTTTTAATGGTACAGGGCCCTACTCGATGGCTTGACAAGACAGGCAACTGACTGAACTTAGCCAAGATTCTCAAAACCATTTTGGCCATTTCTTGCACAGAACTGACAGTGACACTAAAGGTAACAGGAGAAGAGAGAACCATGACAAAGAAGAAGTCACTGAAAGCACCAGGCCTCATGCCTTGGCTCAAGTTATTGTCATCAACAATTACAACTTTAAAACCTCATAGATACCAAGAATGAGAAGGTGGTTCTAGAAACAGGCTGCCATCTGTGGGACAGGCTGAAACAGAGGTCTCTCTTACAGCAACACTGGCAGAAAAAGCTGCAGACAGCAAGTCGTAGCAGAAGCTTTATTTCCCTTTTCATATCGCAATATTCGACATTATAACACTAAATATGTAAAAGGATTGCTAAAAGCTATTGGGATATGCTCAGAAAATCTTTGGACAAGTAGAAGATATGAGGAAGACTGAGATACAGGGTGAAAATGTGTTTGGAAAGAGTAGCCATGACCAACTTAAAAAAGCAGGAGGAACACTGCAGATATCAGTATTGAAACTTTTACCGTGTGGGAATGTAGGTTTAGAAGAAAAAAAAAAAGAAGGAAAAAGCCAAACCAACCAACAATCCTTCAATGTAATAATTTTATGCTATAATCAGCTCATGAAACTTCATTTTAATCTCTTTATTTCTATTTAATAATGCTCCATTTTCCTCCCAAACTTTCTCTTTGACCTCACGTAACTTAATACCTTTTTTCCCCAAAAACTTGTATTTAAAAATCAAGTGTTCTCATTACTCTTCATAGAGACTACTGCATCACTGGATTTAAGCCCTTCTGCAGTGAGGTTTACCCCAGCTACCACCTTCATGCTCTCTTTTCCTGGGTGACAGACCCAAAGGAATACACCTGCTTGTCTGTGGGCTGGTACACATGAAAACTCTGAAAATGAAAAGCAGCCAGGATTACAGCCATGAGTCTTCCAGGATTTAATAAAAGAGAAGTTTTAGAAAGAGAGACACGAGAGAATCTAAGACAACAGAGAGTGAATTACAGTATGTTAGGTCACA